TGCATGGGAGAACATATTTGCCAATGTTATCTACGATAAGGGTTTAATCTCCAAAATTTATAGGGAACTCATACAACTTTAAAAAAGGACGATAAACAATCCAATAAAAAAAAATGGGCAAATGACTTAAATAGACACTTTTTGACATAGGACATATTGAAGGCCAGGAGACATTTGAAAATATGCTCAAAGTCACTAATCATGGGAGAGATGCAAATCAAAACGACAATGAGGTACCATCTCACACCTGTCAGAATGGCCATCATCAACAAATCAACAAACGACAAGTGCTGGCGAGGATGAAGAGAAAAAGGAACCCTCTTGCACTGCTGGTGGGAATTCAGACTGGTGCAGCCATTGTGAAAAACAATATGTCGTTTCCACAAAAAATTAAAATTTGAACTTCCATTTGACCCAGTAATCCCACTTCTAGGAATATGTCCCAAAAAACTAGAAACACCAATTAGAAAGGGTATATGCACCCCTATTTTCATAGCAGCACAATTTACAATAGTTAATATTTGGAAACAGCCTAAATGCCCATCAGCAGATGAGTGGATTAGAAAACTGTGGTATATCTACACAATGGAATACTATGCTGTTGTAAATAAGAAAGAATTCTTATCATTGGCAACAGCATGGATGGAACTGGAAAGCATTATGCTAAGCAAAATAAGCCAGTCAGAGAAAGATAAATATCACATGATCTCACTCTTTTGTTGAATACAATGAACAACATAAACTGATGAACAAAAATTGAACCAGAGTCATAGAAGCATTGAACAGAATGTCCAACCTATGAAGGAACACAGTGGGCAAGGGGGTCAGAGATCAACCAAAGGATTTGTATGCCTGCATATAAGCATAACCAATGGACACAGACAGTAGGGGGGTGGTGAGAGCATGTGCTGGGGGTTAGGGCTGGCCGGGGAGAGGTCAATGGGGAAAAAAAGAGACTTACATAATACTTTAAACAATAAAGACTTTGAAAAAAGTTTTAGCTTGAAAAATGAATGCAAATAGTGTTACATGTATGCTCTGTGAAAGAGCTGTATTCTCTAGGAATTGAAAAATCAAATTAAATAGATATTTAGTGAGAACCTACCTGTTCAAAGTGCTCTGCAAGATCTCCTTACCACATTAGGTCCATATGGCCTGTTCTGTGTGGGACTTACCATATTCCTCCTTGAGCCCAACACAGTTCCTGACATAGGCCTTCATCTCAAATGTAGGTTGAGTTAGGTTATAGGAAAAGTTAGACCCAGTTCACAAAGTCAAACAGGAAAGTATATATAACATGCTATTGCTAGAGTTGCTGGCGTTGAAATGGCTATAGTCAGAGCAATTACATTTAAAGTGAGTCAAAATCCAATGAGCCCACAGTGGAACAGTTTGTCCTCTGTGAAAGCTGCAAAACCTTCAGTGTTTAGGCTTAGCTAATTTCCATGATTCACCAAAGTTGCATAAAGGCAAATCAATTAAAGGGAGCTACAACTTCACACTAGGAGTAAATTTTAAGCTACATGGCAGAAAGCGAATAAGTGGACTGTGAGTTTCACAGCAGTAAGCCTGGTGCACACAAAAGAAATAAGGAATGATTGAACAAATGACTTAAAGGTTGTAATAGAAAAAAATAAGGAAAAATAGAGCTGGTTCATAGGAAGGAGTTAGTGAAGAATGTATGGAGGAAAAGAGCCCTTAGCCAGGTTGCAAGGTTGGATGGGACCTGGGTAGGAAGAATATGCATGGTAAACACATTCCAGACTAAATCATGGATATGGGAGTGAAGCTGTGTTGTGGCCAGAGAGGAGACATGTCTATCAGGTCAAAATGAGGGAATGATGGCAACAGTGGAAATAAGTAACAACAATGAATTGCATAGGGTTTGTCAAGCGCTAAGCACACTTCTAAGTGATTTTACATTCTCACCTCATTTTGGCAAAATCTCTGAAATTTAGGCATAGTAAATTATCTGCCCAAGGTCACACAAGTAGGGACAGAGCTGGGATTTAGAACCTATAAAGTACCATTCCAGGGTTTGTGCAATTAACAACTACAATGTTACATGACAGGAAACACATATTCAAGTGAAGAGGTAATGAAAAATTAAGCTTTTCAATGAAAATTAAAAGAAAGCAAATATGTAGGTAAAAAAAAATAAAAACTAAGAATAACCTCTAACTGGTCAAGATTTTAAAAATATTTATTACTTATGGGGAATGTGATATACTATAAACTATAAATAAATTGAATATATTTTTAAAAAATTAATAGCATTTACAACACACTTAAAGTGGATCTATTAAATGTATATCCTTTTAATTTCTAATGAAATCTCATTGATAGATAAATGGAATAAGTGTTCATAAAGTTCAAAGATTTTAATTAGCATCTTCTTAATCTTAATCTGCACGTTACATAAGTTCAAATTAATATTATCAAAGAGAAGTTAAAACTATACAGTGGGAAAGGGTTGTAGAGTAAAGGGTGAAGGGGGTCAAATATATGGCAAGGAAGGAGATTTGATTTGGGGCAGTAAACACACAATGCAATATATACAAATGATATATTATAGAATTGTATACTTGAAACCTATATACTTGTATTAACCAATTTCACCACAATAAATTTAATTTAAAAAACTGTACACACACAGGTATATCTGTGTACACTACATATTTAAGAGCAAAAGGGAGTAGACTGCTCTATCTCCATCAACTGCTTGTTTTTGCTATTTTAAAGATACTAGTAATAATATATAGAAACTAATATGTAGTATTAATATTCCAGCGACCTATGCTCAGAAATGCCATCTGCATTTACCACTGTTCAATTGGGCATACTAAAATAAATGGTAGAATTTGAAGTATGTTCCAAAATTATGTTTGAAGTTTAAGACATTAACTTTCAAACCACATATATATTTTCTATATCTATCTGTTATATATGACAAACTACACCCATTGTAATATGACAGCGTTTTTATAACTAAAGATAAATGCCTTTCTTCTCTGAATACTTTGAATTTTCTATGAAACAATGACCACTTACTAGAAAAATGCGGATAATATGTGTAAATTATGATTTAAACCTTCCCCCACTTCTATCCAAAGATAGCAGCCAAAAAGCTGAATAAGTCAGGGTGCCTTTGAAGATGTTTAATTAAAATCTAATCCCACATTCTTAAAAGCTCACATAAATTAAGCTGTCATTCAGGAGATTTATGCATTCGCATTTGCATATTACATACAATTCATCAATTACTCATGTTTGAAAGCAATGCCTTTCCCAGGGTGCTGAACTGCCAGCAGTGCCAACAGGCACATGCGACCCATAAAACCAGATCCACTGGTACCTTGGAGAAAGCCACTTCCATATGGTCCTTCGTTTGTACTACCACAGAGCTCTAAGCACGCTTAGAAAACCATGACAATAGTTTGGTGGATTTTACTCAGATGAATTAGTTTGACAGAAATGAACATTTTACTTTATGTTGGTGCAAATGTATAGTAGTAGCAATTTAACAGCCCTTCTTCTATTCATGGCAAGTTTTAAAATCATAGTAAAGATACAGAATCATTGCTGAGCTTCAGCATAGCCAGACAAAGCAGTTCAGTAAAAAATCTCTTCAAGTTGATAAAAGTCAACTACTTGTTTATTATGGCATATTTGAGTAAGGTAAAAAAAAGGAAAAAGGTACCTATATATACTTACATAATACATATACACAAGTATATATACATACACACGTGCAAAATACATATACAAAGGAAAAGAGAGAGGTAAAAATATCATAGTGTTCAGTGGCTCATTTTGAACAGTTGGAAAACTGTAGATGTGGCAAATATATAAGATGCCCATAACTTTTCCAGACTGCATTTTTACTTTTTTGTTGTTGTTGTTGTTAATACTCATTCGAGGAAATTTTTTTTCCATTGATATTAATTAATTAATTAATTTATTTATTTATTTATTTATTGTCTAAAGTTTTACATATGTCTCCTTTTTCCCCGATTGACCCCCTCCCCCACAGCCATTCCCACCCCGGGCAAGTCCCCACGGCCCCAGTGTCTGTGTCCATTGGTTATGCTAATATCCACTGACTTTTAGAGAGAGTGGGAGGGGAAATGGAGGGAGGGAGGGAGAAAGAAAGAGAAACATCGATAAAAGAGACACATCGATTGGTTGCCTCCCACATGCAATTTTCTGAAGACTATTTTTTGGGGGGGGAGGAAAGGCAAGTTTTTAATAGCAGCATGTGTACAAGCAAGCAGATGCAAAGACACATTTTCTCCATGAGCTATAAGCTCTTACAAGTTACCTTTAATCTTTTATGCACACTGAGAAGACAGGTCACTGCAGTCATCCCAAAGGGGAAATGGTATGTTTATAAAGCACCACAGATAACAGAAAGAAGCGATCCACATGACATAATGGGGTAAGCTATTTCCAACATATATCAACAATTGGCACAATACTTTTCATGAGTCTCTATATTAATTTTCAATATATTTGTTTCAGAATTAAAAACAACCACTGGCTATAAAAAGCGATGCTTGAAATAGGAACATTTCTCCTCGCATATCCCTTCCCTTATATTTCTAAAATTTGTCACCAATTCTTTTATCATTTGGACATCCAGAAAACGCAAAATACTTAAAGCAACTGGGAAATTTAAATTATCTTCTCTAGGTTATTGTATATAAGTTACAAGCCTATGTATTTCTGTGAGTGTATACTGCAGCTAATGTTCAGCAATGACTCATAGAATTTCAACTCCATATGGAAGATTTCAGTGCCCACTATGTACAAGACATTGTGTTCAGTGTTGTAGGGAAGATAAAGATTCATTATACATGACCAGAGCTCACAATCTAATGAGAAATATGTAAATGTATACTAATGACTAAAATACTGACATAAACAATGCATATAGGGCACAAAAGAGAGAAATATTCAGTCTGAGAAGATGAAAGGAGGTGGCATTCGATCTAGTTTTTAAGGATGAGTAGGATAAATATAAAACTGTGCATGCCTTGTAGAGGGGCCATGCTAAACTTTCTCTGCATCATTCCAATTTTAGTACATGTGTTGCTGTTAAAAACACATAGAAACAACTTGAGAATTGGTTCAAAGCAGAATAATGTTCAAAGCAGAAAAAAAAACCTATAAGAATATGTGAGATAAACATTGTATTTTCTAGATACTTTTTGTTTCCCATGGTAAATACAGATGATTTAGCATAAACTGTGCTTTGACATATATCAAATATTGACCATTAGCTGATCTTAAAGTCTACTGCCATTGGGTCATTGCTTGTTTCTGAACATTAGCTGGAATATAAAAATAGCAATAATAGTGGATTTATTCTATCAGAAAAAAATATGTGCCTTTTATTCCTACCATGCTCTTCAATTTTCAAAATTCTGATTTCTCCCCAAAAGACAATAGTAAGATGCATGCATTACTTTTGTCATATAGATGTAATGTAAAACATTCTTATAAGAAGCAGTATTTTTACTATCTGGAATGGGGGTGAATGGCAGTGTAGAACAAATATAAGTGTGTGTATATATTATCATTCTCCTTTGTTATAATTTAACCATGGGAAAAAATGTTTGAGTTTGGTTGTGAACAAAAGAATATCTCGCAGGATATCAGATTCAGTTAACAAAATTAACAATTGATATTCAATGTATCCTATGCTCCAGCATTCAGCAGTAGTTTTTGAAGCTTCCTTCACATCCTACACCTTTAAAGTCTATTTAACCTACATGGGTTTTAATTATGATCAAGAAGCTAATTGTAGTTGTATTGCAGTCAGAAAAATATCTATATGGACAGATTTTTAGAGTAATTATTCATTGTAACAATTCAACTAATTAAATAATGTCTAAAGTAGTTTATTTTAGATAATGCATATACCAGGGATATGTACAATGTAATGTTGTTATATCTGAACAGTCAGGATCATTTATCACTACAATGTTTTTGTCTTACAGGAAACAGGTCTTTACTTAAATCATAACTGCTATTTATAATTAAACATGGCTTTATTACAATACCTCCCCCTAAATAAAGAGTAACATATCATACCTGCCAACTGTCTCTTCAAGAAAGACATTTTCCCCTCTTTCAGGAAAACAAAGTTAAAAAGTTAAACACTACACTCATCCCATGACTTTTTTCCCTAGAAGCACACAGCCCTAATATTGAACAATGAATGATTAGAAAACAGATCTTCACTTCCTATGCTTACTGTGGTAAATTTATAATTTCATAAAGGAAGGAGAATGTTCCTAGGTGAAAAATCATAGCAGAATACAAACCAAAAGGAATTCAAGTTCTAATAAATAAGACTGATGTAAATCTAAATAAGAAGACTGACATTTTACCAGGTATAGACCAATTTATTCTGTTACTCACTATCTTAAACATTAATTAAAATTAACTAGTGAATTAAAAGCTTATGTAAGCCAGAAGTAAAAAGGGGAAAAAGTCTCTTAAACATTTACTATAAATAAAATACAAGGTGGGCTAAAGTAGGTTTATAGTTATGAGTACATGAGAGTTTATTCTTGTATTATTACTTATTAATTACTGTATTATTTTCCATATGAACAACTATAAACCTACTTTCTCCTACCCCTGTATTAAGGTGATAAAATTCACAACATTTTCTGTGTTCCAAGTTTATTTTTAAACATATCTTAAGGACAGGGATAGTATTAAAATAGTTTCTACTAGAAATCAGTGAACTGAACAGTTTAGAGAATATTTTGACCGACTGCTTTTGTTCTAGTTCAATAGTTATGGAAAAATCTATAAATTAAACCCCATTTATAACTGCAACATTGGATTAGAAATCTTTAAACCTAAGCTTGTTGTTTAGTAAAAATAATAATGATAATTTGGAAAGTTGGATTCTACAAATTAGTAAGGGTTTCTGAAATTTTAGAAGGGATTAAGCAAAAAAAAAAAAATCATATGCACAGACAACTGTATGGTGATTACCAGAGGGAAAGGGGGGTCGGGGCAGGTGGAAGAGGACAAATGGGGCCATAAATGGTAACGGAAGGAGACTAGACTTTGGATGGTGAGGTCACAATGGGATGTGCAGATGATGTATCATAGAATTATGTCCCTGAAACCTATATAATTTTATTGACCAATGTAACCACAACCAATTCAATAAAAAAGAAAAATAATTTGGTTTAGTTCAAATCCTTATTCTAGATAATAGCAAAGGATTACACTAATCTATATATATAAAAGCCAAGTGACCAGAATGACCAGTTGCTATGATGCACACTGAGGCTGGCCAACCAGCCTGATTGGGGGCAGGGTCAGCCAGCCAACCTCCCATGGCCCCTCCCTCCAGCTGGCCCAGCCCCAATCGGCCCCAATTAGGGTGGGCTGGCCAGACCCCACCTGTGCACGAATTCATGCACCAGGCCTCTAGTGACTAAATAATAGCACTGTGCAAAATATCTTTTGATCTGTAAGGTATATTTTAAATTAAACATAACAGCATCCTTCCACACTGTGTTAATTTTCATTTTATTTCCTCTTTATATGTTATGTCTAACAAAACTGCCTTAAAATTAACACATGCAATAATGCTACATGATATTTGTCTTCAAGAATCTGATGACATTATTATATGACACACAACTGGCTATACAACTTATGTGTTGAAAAAGGAAACACTGGGGAACTGGATGAAAAAGATGAAAGGATTAAGCCAAACAACCACACCAACAACAACTCATAGACACAGACAACAGTATGGTGTTTACCAGAGGAAAACGGCGGTGGAGAAAGTTAGAAAAGGGTAAAGTTAAGGATAAATGGTGACAGAAGGAGACTTGTCTTTGGGTGGAGAACACACAATACAGCATACAGATGATGTATTGTAGAATTGTGCACCTGAAATCTATGCAATATTATTAACCAATGTCACCCTAATAAATTCAATAAAAAGGCAACATCTAACAAAAAAGATAAATGCTCTGTCCATTGTGAAATTCTATTCTGTGTTGTTAAGGCAAGAAAATCATTGAAAATGACAAAAGATATGTCAATCAAAATATAGATATTAAATGTGATTAAATGTATATATTAATAATCCATAGTGTTCTAAAATAAGCACAGTAAGCCAAGTATTTTCTTAATTATAACTTTAAAGAAAGTTATAATTCTTGCCCCAGGCATACCAAATATGAAGTCTTTTTACCACCTTTTTGCAACAGTCTCACAACAGTCTTACCATAAAAACACATCAATTTTTGCTGTCCAAAACCTTGTTTCAATCAAAATAAGATTAACATTACCACAGTAGAATATCAATGAAAACTCTAACTTACTGAGAGGATCTGTCAGGAAAGAAAGAGACAGAGTTTAGGAAGGAAACATTAAGTTCCCATTCTCATGTTGGATATTAAGGCAATAACAATCTCAATTCATTCAGTTTGATATGGCAAATACTTATTGCATTATTAACATCTGCTGTTGATTAGCATTAATTATAGATCTAGTAAATTTGGAAGCTTTACACACACTCAATACATGCAAATAACATATATGCATGTCACATGGTAAACTCTTAATGACTGTTTATTGAATGATTTAATGATTTATTCCACTTTAATTTTCCACAGGTAATGCCCTAAAATTTATTATCATATCCCCTCTACCATTAATGTTATCTTTGTGAGACTCATCAGGGACTGGGGTTAAAATGAAGTACACTAAAATATGTCTTCTTCCAACTGCCAGTCCTTATCATTTTGTTCCCACCCTTCTCTTCTTAAATCACATATGCTAAATAAAGAGGCAAGTCTTTAATTTCTAACACATTAGACAACATCACATTATAACTGCTTTGGGGGTTTTGTTGACTTTGAATATAAAATTTTCACATGCTGAGAAGATACAGTCCCTTACCTTGCTTGGTGGGTGCTTTAACTTTCTGAGAGTAACAAGCTTTGGATTGGTATATACTAATAGAATGATATTTTACAGATGTCTTCACTGGAAATGAGATGAATTATATCTTTAGCAAAAATCTCAAAAAAAGAATTGAGAATATGCCCACTAGCTTTCAACTGACATAAAGATAAACAGAGTCCTTAACACCTTAAAAATAGTTGAAGTTATAAGTTAGCCCTGACCAGTGTAGCTCAGTTGGATGGAGCGTGGTCCCATATACCAATGGGTCATGGGTTCCATTCCCACATACATGGGTTCCATTCCTTTAATCCCTGGGTGGGACACGTAACAGTAGGCAACAGATCTCTCCCTCTCTCCCTCTCTCTAAACATATCTAAACATATCCTTGGGTGAGTATTTTCTTAAAGTTTAAGTTAAATAAGTAGAAACATGCTCAGTTAAAAATGGAATAAGGACAAATGGTAGATGATACACCAAGAAAGAATAACAAGAAATGAATAAAGTGATTTAAATAACACTTACAAAGTCACAATTATAGCCAAATAAAGTGGAGAGCTCCCTAAATGATTACTGTAGTCAGTAATAGACCAATGCCAAAATTTAAATCAGCCTCTTTATATATTTCATGGTATTTTGCTTATACATTATTCTATTTCATTATCCAAGCATTAATGAACTTGAACCATAACCATTTGACAGTTACTATGCATTTCTAGATTGAAGATATTGTCCAAAGAAGAATGAAATAACCAAGGGTGGCTCTTGTAATTTTTTCACATTTTTCATTCTTAAGCAGAATTGGCATTTTCTAATCACTTCTAGTTGCTGATAATATGAAACAATAAGATACTTAGAAAAAAAGAAAAGAGAGTAGCGTATCATTTCACAGTCAACATGATTTTACCCTGAGGCCATTTTCTAAATTACAAAAATAAGTGTTTGAAGCCAGTTACCCCAACATAAGACAACAGCTATATGAGCTTGAAGAAGGCTCACCAACCATATTCTATCATTGTAAAGTACCTATCCCACTTCTACCATCCAACAACTCATCCATGTAGCCTACTATTTTCATCTGCAATGTTAGATTTGCATTTATATTGTGCAGCTTTGGGGAACCACATAGTATAGTATTGCACTCCTCCAAACTTCTTC